AGACTAAACCTTTCAAGTTTTAGGTAAATTGGGATTATCAGGATTAATTCTATTAAGTAGTTACCAGAATACTAAATGTTTAGTTTTTTAAGTTCTCATACAAGATTAATATTCCAGATGTTGACATTATGGTTTTGCAGTTCACAAAATCTGAGCAAACTGGTTGGACATCTGTGGGTGTGTTGGAAAGCCCATCTCAAAGATGTCGCTTTGTTGAGAGACTTTATGAAGATTCTAAAATAATCAGTCAGGTTATCAGAAAGAGAATTATCCACAATTCTCCTTAATCCCTCGGCGGTTCTGAAGGAGCGACAATCATCTGCTCTGATGCCAAGAGTTGAATGAGTCTTGGTGTGGAAAGTGCATGTCGATGCCAGAACAAAAGCAAAAGACCTTCTGAAGATGCTAGCTGTGAAGAGAGCGTGTCATTATCGACAGTGAAACCAGTCCAGTACCAACGTGGGCTGAAAGGCCACTACAGAAATGAAAAAGTCAAAAAGCAGCACCATAAAAAAAACTGATTATTGTGGTTGGTGGTTCGGTCAACACACATCTCAAACGTGAAGTATAAACGCATCGTGTTGCATGTAAATGTTTTACTGCTGCATGAAATGGCACACAGTACTAAAGGCAGAACGTTCAAGTTTGAGCGGAAATGGGTCTTTAAAACTAAACAAAGACTAGAAGGATACTTCCAAACTTGATAAAAAGCACATAAAGGAGTAAACTCTCTATTTACTCTTTGTTGTCTAACACCAACACCCAGCAGCATAACTACAAACTTTATCGTTTAGCTCTTTGTCAGCAGGGCAGTGACGATATGACCGCAGAGAGAATTGAGCAGAAAATGGGACAAAGATAAAAAATCCCCAACAAACTACAAAATGTCTGGAAAACTACTGAAAAACCTTACAAAGATAAAAAAATCCCCAACAAACTACAAAATGTCTGGAAAACTACTGAAAAACCTTACAAAGATAAAAAAAATCCCCAACAAACTACAAAATGACTGGAAAACTACTGAAAAACCTTATAAAGATCCCAGTCTGATATAAGCCCAAAAAGGACGATTTTAAAAGCAGCAGCAGTTTGCAGGATCAAAGTAAAAAGAAAAACATATCCTGTGGAATATTATATTGCTTAATTTGGTATTGAATACTGCGTCAGCTGTGCTCATTATTTTGCTAATCAAAGCATGTGCCCTGCTAAGAACAGCTGCTGTGGGGAGAAGCAGCAACAGAAAGCAGCTAAAACGCCCCTTGTTAAATTTTATGATATTCAATACAATTTTATTAGTCATATAAAGCAGAAAAGTCTTTTCTTTAGGTATCCTCTGATAACTGAAACTGTGCAGAAATCTGTCACCATCATCGTTTTCAGCAAGTCTTATCAAAAGAGAATCAAACATGTTTGCATTATTAGCCCAGATCATCAGCAAACATTCTTTTTTTGTTGTTCTTAGAAATCAAACGTATTTTAAAACATAAATTGTATCTATAAAAGCCAAAGCACAAAATTTATTCAACTAAATCTGTTTTTTAAAAAGAAAAATGGAAAAGAAAAAAAGGGAAGTCTAGTTCATTGATTAATGTTTAAATGTTACCATTATTGAAATGTCTTGAATCATTAGTCACCCAGAATTGAAACTATAGTAACATTTTTGCCAAGACATCGTGTCACAGCTCTAAATCTCTTCTCTCGTCTTCCAGCCTACCCAATGGTTTAAAAAAAAAAAAAAGTTTCAGTCAGCTGTTACGCCGTCTGTCTCTCCTCATGTCAGACTGGATGACAGTGCTGGGGGTCACCAATCCGTTCTGCAAACACCAGGAACCGTGCCGACACGGCAGGAAAAGCAGAACGTTTGGAGCTTTTTGCAAAGGTGTGCTCGAGTTCTTATGAGCTCTCGCACCGCGTGAGTCGATAGGGAAATAAAGGTTGCTGTGAACCCTGTCAACAGACTGGAGCGGGCAGAGCTGGGGCTTGGCACAGTCGCTAAGGAGGTGAGGTTGCTGCAGCGACTAAAAAAAAAAAAAAAAAAGAGTAGATTTATGTGAACTTGAGAATGAGAAAGTGTTTAAAGAAATAGGATTGTTTGGAAAGTTATTCATTAAGCTAATGTGGTCTGTTGTCCAATATTGGGGGGGGGGGAATAATTAAGGAACTTTTATAGATGCATTTCTAAATCAGGCTATTGACATGAAAGTCATTCCAGGTCACAAGCTAAAAATCCAAGCCAAATCTTATGATAAAGTAGGTTGACCTTAAGGATAAGTACTAAATGTGCTTACTGAAATGTATTTAGTAATTAGTGGTAGGAATGCTTTTATTTTTTTTCCCCTGCAGTGATAATAGCCTGGAGAATTTTCCTTTGTTTGGAAACTACTTGCACAATTTATCAGGTCTAATCTTCCATGAATCTGTTATTGTTTCTCTGGTTTTGAAGGATTTTGGGGACTCGTCTATGCACCCTGAAATTCAGTTCTTTCAGAGATTTCTAGTTCTGTTCAAGTCAGGTGACTGACTTACTCTAAATTACTCCATTCATTGTTATTTTACCGTCTTCTTGACCACATGCAGAAATAAGCCAGACACTTTCATGTTTTCTTTTTTTAAATTACGATTTATTGTACCGATTCTCCTAAAATGGCGTATGAAATAAAATTTTAAAAACTCAACTTTGTTCTCACCTGGACACACTTTATTCTCTTAGTATTTTACTGACTTGTCCAAATGTTTCAGAAATTTTAAACAGGATTCAACACGCTTTCCTTCTACAGGTGAGTGGGCTTAGAGGACAGACATAATTCGTTAATCCTCTGTCGTTCTTCGGCACTCTAGGAGTGATCCTTGACTATTGGAGAAAAAATCTTGCAAGCAGAACATGTTCATGGTGAGTTTATGTCGAAATGATGTACTTTCCGCCTCTCAATTATAGCCCCAACCATTGGTGCCTGAATGATGGAGCAAATGGAGCAACTGCTCCTGCAGCCATGCTCACTGGACCATTCAGAAGTTCAGTGACACATCTGTAACCACTGCTACTAGTATGTTTGGCAACAACGCATAGGACTGTGAAGGTCTTTGAGATCATTTGGCTTTAACTCGTTATGGCACGCTTATTGTGTAACATTTTGGGAATTAGAAACCATTTCATGTTCCATAAATATTTGACGTGCAATACTTATCGTCATCGCTGTGTTTGTGATGGCATATGCTGTCCTTCATTTCGGAAACAGCTTGTTCCTGAAAACCTGAAAAATTCTAATACACCAAAGTGAAATACTACTTTAATAATTGCGCTGGGGTAATAGAGAAATGAGTTTTCGATTTGTGCGGTTGGCCGTTGACAGGACTGTATGTTAGAAAAGAAAGAGAGGATTTGTGTCAGTGGATTCGAGAGATGTGAAGATGAAAAAAGGCAAAGTGTTCAACATTGTGCGAGCAGGCTAATGTGGTTTTGCACAACTTTTGATCCTCTAATAAGGTGTTTATTGCACCTCCTGTTACAAAATGATATGGATGGTGTCTTTTAAAGTTCTGTAGTGTTAGATCTATCTATCCATCTATATATCTATCATTTGCTCATGGTAGAGAACTGAATGTATTTTTTTTGCTTCCACAGATGCAAAGTTATAAGGCAGATTAATATCAGTAAATACCGGTGTCAGAGTATTTCCTTTTATAGATATTTAAACCCATAGGTGCCAAATCAAGGATTTCTTTCTTTCTACTGCAAACACATTCCTTGTCACCATTGGACTGTGGATATAACTGCTAGAATAAATTAAACATTCCTCGCACTTAATGTTTTTCCTTTGTCATCATCCATATGTGTGTGCATATTTGAGAGAAACTACAGTGCATTGCTGTCCTTGTATCTGTCTGCTTACATAAACTCACATTTTTTTTTTATGGTCAATGTGCTTCAAGAAAGTAAATTAAATCACTCTGTGTGGGCTATCTCTGCCCAACCTTGCCTCATCTCTTTGCTAATACCTTCATCAATGCACAGATTTCTGCATTCACCCTAAGGTCACGACCAAAACAATTTAAGCTAAAATGTACACAAGAAAAAAAAAAACAGCCACCTCAACCCTTTAATGCAAAAGTACATCAGAATGCTTTTTTTTTTTTTGTATCTTTAATTCAAGTTTCACGTCACTTCTCTTCTGCTCTCTTTTACTTGTACAATATCCTGCTGATGAAAGCCGAGAGAAAAACTTCACATCCAAACATCAACACAAATTCAGGCTTCCAGAGACAAACGATTTCGAGTAAATACAGCCGACTTTCCGATAGAGGAAAAAGGGGGACGGGGAGGGGAATAACCACAGAAGTACCCTCTGGGAAATTTTCTCTGATCAAGTGCAATGAGATTAACCAGTTCGACGTGTACTAATGAACAGGAGATCATAATGAAAGGAGCTTGTAAATGTAGCAGAGGCATATGAACATGAAATGAAGCTTTTCCTGCCTGGGACCCGATGAAACACACCGACTAATGCACAGGAAACATTTATTTCACCGTTCCCCAGCAGACACCCCGACAACAGCAACCAGAAAACTCGATGGTTTGGGATCTGTTGCGAGTACGTCACAACAATTGCGCCTTGTGCAATCACACACGAGATAATGTCTGAATCAATCTGTTAAAGGTACACTGTTAAGTCATTAGTACAAAGGTCACTTTTATGTTAATGTTTCTGACATTTCAACACACGCCTGTTAGAGAGACGTAAAGAGGCGCCGTGCGCATTCGGCATTTCTACACAGTTAAACGGTATTTTAAGAGAAGCAAGATGTCTCCGTGGAAAACTTTTTACACTCGCACATAATAACAATAAATACATTGTGTGAACTGTTATTGTTTTTATCAGGGTAGGAAAAAAAACAGTTTTCTTTTTATCAAGAATTTGTTGTCGACGTTAAAATAAATATCTCTAAATGTAATTTTATATATATATATATATATATATATATATATATATATATATATATATATATAAACTTTGGGTCTGATCAAAACTGACTGTCATAAAGGTACGTCACTCATAACACACTGAGACCTCAGATTAACGGAAAGCCGTCGATGTCCAACATGACCTGCAAGTTTTAAAACCAGTCAGCTACTAACTTTTACAATGGTTGCAATAAGTTTTTTTTTTTTAATTTATTTTTTTTACTGGCAGGAACAGACAAGATAGATAAATACTCACAGGGAAGCACATGAAAGGGACACACAACACAAAGTACAATCCCATACAGATGACAAACGGATCTAAAAAGGTTTGAGGAATCAAAAGGGGAATCTACAGTCAGATGCAACTTACTGATCACATAGTCTCCAAATGGATCCTCATTCTCTTCATCATCAAGGTAAACTGAGAGAGAAGAGATGGCAGAGAAAAAAAGAAAGAAAATAAGAAAAAGGATAGAAAAAAAACAAAGAAAAAGCCTGGCTTAGGCAACCAAAGCAAAAGTGAAATTAAAGAAAAATCAGACACGGATAAAAAAAAAGAATACGTGTAGGTTTAAAGAAATCAAATGAAGTCCTACCCTTCCATTGTCTACTATTTTGCTCCTAATGATGTACTCTGCTTTCATGGAAGAGGAAAATTTTGATCACTGACTGGCGAATTTGTAATTTTCTCTCAGAGCTCTTTCATCCTCACCCTCTCTAGCAGGACTGAGGATGGTACGAGAAGCCATTAGAGCTCACTAAATTTTCCATTAAGGTAGGTGTCAACAGGCTACAAGCCAAATGCTATGGGGAATTTTTTTTTTTTTTAACCCCATTCCGGCCTCTCTCTCTTCGCCGATGATAATGCCATCACTCCGACCGGACAATCACACACGTTGTCCGTGTTCCCATCTATAATCTTTCCCCTCTCCATTTGTTAATCATTTAAGTTTTCTTTTTCTTTTCTGCTCTCCATCACCCCAGGCTCTCATCCTTTAATGTGAGTTAGCATCCATCTACAGTGATCAATATCCCAAGGCTTTCGTTAAATGCTGCTCTTATGCATCCGAGACTTAGCGTGCGCGTCCGCCCGAGAGTGTCTGTTGTTTTGGTGTCCGGCGTGCATTACCAGACTTCTTTTCGACATCAGGCTCTATTTGATGTTGCTTTTACTCAGCCGGAGACACTAAAGAGGGACAACGTGGTCTCTCCAGTCACGTCTTCTGTTTGCGTAAAATGCGAGAGCGTGTACAAGCGGCATGTTTTAGCATGTTGAATAGGCCGGCTGCTATCGATCCCCGAGCGCCGGACATGTTTCAGGCTCTTGACATCAATCAAAGACACGGACGCGTAGAGATTCCCACTGCGTGTGTTTTGTCACTTCTCTTTCCTCGTTCCAGCAGGTCTTAGTGGACGAAAAGTCCTTGAACCAGTGGGCGAAGAGTTGAAGGTGTTCACGCCGCGCACACACACATTCATGCACGCCTCCTCGCTGGTGTGTATTTGTGAAAGCGAGCTGTCAGTGCTGCTCTCACACACCATTCATCACAAGCTACTAATTCTGTTAGACCATTGTGGAGCCTTTTGCACCCCACGTTGCTCTCTGAAAACTCAATCAGAGGCTAATGCCCCCAACCCCTCTCTGGCGCACACGCACGAGCTCTCACTCTCGACTTCCGCCTCGCGCGCATGCTCACGGACGCCCCGGGGGGACAGCAGCGGTCTTGGGAGGCCACACCAGCTCGGCTCCGTAAGTGTTGCTTGTGTTTGATGGACAGGAGAAGCCTGACCTTAGTTACTGCTGCTGTGAGGTGCTGCAGCTCAGACCTAACCGGTAAAAGTCTGAAGGAAAACAATGTCATTTACCACTTAGAAATTTTACAGTATGTAGCCTTATTAGCTGAGGCAAAATGATTAAGATTCATAAATCAATTGGTCCAACAGTTTCATTATCTGTTTAAAAAAAGATTGTGACTTATTGACCTTCCCAAAGAGTGATCTTTGTCAAATATAAAGAAAGAAAAAAAAATAAAAAATAATATATATATATATATATATATATATATATATATATATATAATCCACTCATCTTTTAAGAACTTAGGATATCACCTGTGTTACTTGGACTAGACCTATGATCTGGCAAAGGCATTTTGGAAAGAGTTGGAGAAAATCAGTTCTTGTAGGTAGAAGTCAAATTTGAGGTGTTCATGTCCAAAACTTTGACAGAATAATTGCAATGTGTATACCAGGGTACACAGCATGTTGTGTTCAAATTCTTAAAGTCACAATTAAATACCATCTTAACCTCCTTGATTACACAAAAATTGATTCTGTGTCTCATTTTTTCAGGGCAAAAAAAAAAACAAAAACTTGTTAGCCATGTTGAACGAGCTTTAATTTATAGTTGCTTCTTTTGTGGTATGCTAAAGAAGAAGAAATAGGACAGCGCGGGCACAGGGACTTTGCCACCTGTGGCAGCAGATTTGATTAGTTAATCAGAGGAATCGCTTTGCTGAACTCTGCTTTTATAAAGCGTAATTACAGTGCCAACTTCAAAAAAAAGAAAGAAAGAAAGAAAAATGACAGTCGAAAAAAAATCTCCCTGCAGCTGTTTGGAAATTAAGAAACTTCTCTTTCTTCCCCCATCCCTCTCCTTTCTTCAACACCACAAAAAGTCTTAATGGAAAAGCACCAATAAATAAATAAATAAATAAATAAAAATTGGATTGTGAAGCGGGCGTCGTGTGAGGGCGGGAAAACGGGCACAATTGAGCATGCCCAGATAGGGGGGCAGGGAAAAGCCAGAAAGGCCACACTAAATTTAGCGCCACCTTTTCATTCTCTAATTATAAGATTAATGCATCCTGCCACGTAACGTCACATACTACCTCGTGATTTATTATCCGGGCGACCAGATGGAGAGATTGAGCCAAGTGAAGGAAATACAAGAGGGAGATGGTCTGAAAGCACCTAATCAGCATGCATGTGTAATTAGGCTGGATCTTAGCTGCGCAGCGAGTCTGTGCAGAGCAAAACACAACACAACACTGAAGTGGAGTCGAATTTGTTCCGTTTCCCTCAACAGGCTGCTGTTTAATTAGCAGAAAAACGCGGAGGCATACGGATGCCTCCCAAACACATGTGTAGAGGACTATATTGATTGTGGCCATGACTTTGAGTTTAAATAAAAGTACATTTTAAAAAATCAGCCTTAAAACTTGATCTCACTTCATCCATGCATGTACTAATCATTCTTCCTCCAGGTCAGCACAGATTGGAAGTGGCCATCAGGCTCTGGCTGTGGGGAAATTTACAAGCCCTCCAATATTCCTGCCTGTGTTTCCAGACGGGCATTTTACGAGGCAGCACACAGTTGTGACGGTAAATCTCTTCTTCTTCCATGCCAAAATGAAATCACCCGATGCTGCTCTCCGTGGCCCGTATTTGTAAGTCTAAGCGAGCTTGTGTGTGTGTGTGTGTGTGTGTGTGTGTGTGTGTGTGTGTGTGTGTGCGCGCGCGTGTGTGTGTGAGGATATTGCGTGCTTGCCACTGCCAAGTCAACGCTCAAGTCTCTTTATTTTAATAGTGTCTGGAAGGGGCTGTAAAAGATTTCGTTCAATATTCAACAATAAAGCTGAATGTAAGGAAACTCTGAAATCCCTGCGCCGCACTTACAAAACTAATTTGATGACCTTAACATATTTCTCTGTAATTGGAATTTAGCAGTAAGTGAAAAAAGAAGAAGAAAAAAAATTAATAACAAGAAAGAGAAATATAATCAAGTTTAAGTTCGGAGACTGAGATAATGTATATAAATCTGCAGAATATATGCCTCAGTGAAGTACGTGTTCCTATTAATTGATGTTATTTCTGCAAGTTTTGCCTCCTTTGAAACTTGTTGTGCGTGATGATATCCGTGACTGTTCTCACCGAGATATTATTCAATAAAAATAACAAATGCTCCACAATCAAATATTTATAGAATGTAGTTTTTAAATTATTGATGCAAAGCAGCTCATTACCGAACTAGGACTGAGTTTGAAAATATTGTGCTTGGGAAAAGAAAAAGGGAAAGTCTAACGAATGGATACTGAACACAAATACTGGGGTTTTGCTATGTTCAGATTTGCATTTTAAGAGAAAAAAGGAAGTGAAAAAGTAAATTTACTCAGTGTTTCTGCTCGTTTTGACTGACTGGTACGAAATGTGCTTAAATTACAGCAATATAATTGCACAAATGAAGCATATAGAGACATGTAGAATATAAAGTGTGTAATACAAAAAGCAAAGACTTTTAAGTAGAAAGTTTTACATACAGTAAGGAAAATCATCAGGTGAAAACAAACTGAATGTCACTCCCAGTCAGCAAATAGATTTCAGCTGTCATTATTACTTCGACAAAAACTAGGACCAGGAGTAGATGTGTGTGCAAATTGTGCACATAACAGAGTTGAGTATAGTTGTAACCATTTATATTTTGACCAATGGCTCGTTCATTAATCTGGAAGAATTGTTGGACCAGTTTTCTTTTACAACAATGTTGAAGTTTTTGACATTTTTATGCAATGAGTAATGCAAAGCTCTCAACAAGACACGTTTTTTTACTCTCATTAAATAAAGCTCAAAGTTGGACTTAGGCATTGGAGCAAGTTTAAATTATTTCCATCCACAGGTCGTTTTGTTATAGATTTCTTGTGCGCTCCACATGGGCGATGTTCATTTTGTCGCTTTTCCCATTTTGTACATTTGGTAGAAAAAAATTTTCCCCCCAGCACAAAAAGGAGCCGTCTGCAGCAAAGTTTCATACTCATCATGCCTCAATTCACACTCGCCTTGCAGAGGTTTTAAAATGGGTTTGACAATTTTAAGACAATTTTCTAAAACCAATCTGCTGCTTAAAATTTTGGTTATGACTCCAAAGTTTTGCTCGAGGCTATTTTGTTTGATGAAGGGTCCTAATAGTCCAAGTCCAAGTAAGGTTTCGAACCATTCGGGGCAAAGTGAGCTTGAAGCTTCAGATGTTTTTCAATCACTCTAAGTCAAATTTCAAAACTAATGATTGAAAAAAAAAAAAATCTATCAAATCAATGGCGTCTAAGTTACCTGTAATCCTGCATCGCTTCAGGATAGGAACGTAAACGTAGTTTTTATCCTCAAACCTGCATCACTACTTTGATACGTTTCATGTTTATCAACAGTCCTCTTGTAGTCATTTAACATTTAATTCAACCTTCATAAAAAAAAGCTGCTAAATGACCTGGCAAAATAAATAAACTGGTATAGAGCAATTAAACACAAGGTTGCACATTGTGCTTTTTAAAAAAATACAAAATAAAGAGATAAGCTGGTGCTAAACGGCAGCTAATGAATATGAAACTATGGAGCGGTTTAAGTTTCTCCGGGTTTTGCTCATGAATG